GTTTCTAATTCATTTTATATGATTTATATCTAATCTTCTATAAATTCACAACACATTACTTTTCAACAGAATGTAGTTGAAAAACCTCAAGATTTATTAATGCACATGGTTGAAAATGATTTTGATTATATGGAAACGCATCTTGAAATCACAAATTCTGATAACTTGTGGAATAATGAACATAAGTAAGTATAATATATTGATTACAATGAAATATATAATTCAAATGTAACTTATAAACATTATTTCAGGCATGATGAAGATGACGAAGAAATGTCAAATTCAGATGTTTCGACAATATCTAAAATGGATAGCATTAAGGAAGATTTTGCAAAAGTTCTTACAGAATGGCAAGAACATATCGGTTACTTACAGGTTTTGTTAACATTTCCTTTATTGTATGCATTATATTTTAATGAACAAACTGCTTATTTGTAGACATTTTTAGGCTACGGACATGGACGAATATATGGATATTGTAGAATTAAATACGAATACTACGGATGAAAGAAGTCTCTCTAGTACAGAAAATATATTTCAAGATGAACAAACAGTGCATGAATCTAATCATCTTTTATTACAACAAGAGGATGTAGAAGAAAAACCTGTTTCTAATCAGAATACATCAGATTCAAAACGCAGTAAAGATATAAATTTATTTACTTTATATTTAATACGTACTTTATTTAATTAATTAATGCCTTTATTATGAAGCATTGTTATATTTTATGACAATTCGTTTATAGGAAAAGACTCATATAATAAAATAAAGGGGAAGGTGAAAGATAATGGGAAAGTACAACCAGAAGTTAAATCAGAACTAATACAGCCTAAACACTCAAAATGTAAAAGTAAATTGAAAAAGAACATACGTAAATATGATAGTGTAGGGATTGATACAAGTGCGAACTTATTTACAAAGCAGAGGAGGAAAAAAAAGGAGAAGTCATTAACGCATAATAAAAATACACGAAATAATGACCAGGATAATAAAGAGCCTGCAAATCAAATGCCAGGTACTTTAAACAAAGATGTTTAGATTTAAAATAGTTCTTTTACTAATTCTTTTATATCATAGTTTTGGAAGCTGGAGATGTTAAAAGTTTACTGGAACAATTTGAAGCTTCTGAAGACGCTTTAATCACGAGTTGTCCTAATAATAAAACAAACATAAAATGTAAGACGAAATCGCCAATTAAATGCAATGAAATTCAACGTAAACAGGCAAAGGAATCACAAATTTCAAATTTACATAAAAATATTCGAGATGCATTACCGAAGGAAGTAATTGATAAGATAAAGGTAAGTACGTGATTAATTAATAGAATAGAAAATTAGTATGTAGTATAAAAGTGGAAAAAGAATTCGTCATGTCGTATTTTGTTTCATTAGACATCTGCTTGTAAAAGGACGACTTCAGTAATACCAACAATACCTAATATTGAGAATAATAGTCGCACTAATGGAACACGTATGCAGGATGCAGCTGCATCGCTTCTCAGCGCGCAAAACAAACTTTTGAATACAGTTGAGTATAAAAAATTAGTAATCTACGCCTTTAATATCGTACGCTATTCGACTGTTTTCTCTAAAATAATTAATTGTTATTTTATCGTACTAGGTCACAGATAATACTAAAAATAAGATTACTGATGGAGGACTAGTTCAGCTGGATCATGATTATTGTAGTACTAGTTCCTCTATTAATAATGTGGATAATAATTGTGAATATGAGAAATGTAGTGATAGTGATAAAGTGACTATACTTAGGAATGATAGTCAGCGGCCGTGTCTTTATTATACGGTATATGAAAAACAATCGTTTTCATCGAATTCAAATACGAGTCTTATAAAAAATATAGATTATTCAACTGAAAATAATTCGAAAAAAGACAGTGGTTTAGAATCAGGTGAAGTAAGTGATAATAGTGAAGAACAGTCAGGCGTTAGCACAGTTAGTGATGTTCAAATTCATAAACCTGTAAAAGAATTACATAGTGGAATAAATGATTGTAAAAACGAAGCATCAAGAAATCATAAAAGCCAACAAGATATTTCGAATAATGCTTCAAATTGTAGTACTATCCACATTCAGCCTGTGTCATCAAGTAATCCATTACCAGAGATGAAAATACAATCTGTACTAGCAACAAATATTTTGCAATTACGGCAAAGTGTTCTAAATAAAACAAAATCCGTGCAAGCAGGAACTCAGAAATCAAAACAAATGGTTTCGGTGTTAAAAAGATCTATTAACGCACAACAGGCACCCGTTGTGAAGGATAATAATGAAACTGCAGTAACAACTATTACTAGTTCAAATCATAAAGTACAGAATATTATTGTTCAAAAGAGTGAAGAGAAACTGGTGCAGGAAGAAGAAAAAAAACCTCCACGGAAGAAGTTAAATTTAGCAGAGTACCGAAGTAGAAGAGAACAAAATCGTAGTGATAATAGTAGAACAAATTCACCGTTACAACGTATGATACTAGTTTACGTTCATCATGCTTCCACTACGACTGAGCCTATTAAAGATGATCCGAAAAATTTGATTTGGTCAGAGAGGGAAATTGTATCAATTTTAAAGCCAAAAGTAGAAATAGATGAAGCAAAAGAGCGTTCAAAACCTCCCACTTGCGATGTAGGAATTCAAACATATGAAACAGTATTTGAATTTCCAACAAAATCTTTAATTGATGTTGATGAGAGACGTGAACAAAGCAGGTAAAAATAAGTTTTAGTCTTAAATGGATCCAGAACTTGTGGACTATATTTAAAGTTAGAAGCTAATGGTCTCATCTGCTGATAGTATATATCTCTAAACAACCTTTTACAATTTTCAGAAATAAGGATGTTCAAGATGAAAATAGAAAATCTTGTGAAAGGCACAGATTTAATTCTAACTCAAGCCGATCTAGATCGAGAAGCAAAACCAGAAGCAGAAGTAAAAGTAGAAGCAGAGGCAGAAGTAGAAGTAGAAGTCGAAGCAGAAGCAGTAGTAATCAAAGTAAATCTTGCAAACGTAGTAATACACGTCGTCGAAGAATAAGCCATCGACGTAGTTCTGTCAGCTCAAATAGCAGTTGGTCTTCGCGTTCGTATTCACATTCGCGTTCGCGCAACTCCCGTTCACATTCTCGCTCGTGTTCGGGTATGAGATCTAGCTTCAGTTCAGAATCAAGATATTCACGATCACGTTCCAGATCGTCTAGATCAAGGTCTCGATCATCTCGATATTCTAGTTCTTCTAGGTAAATATGAAAGTATACAAAATATTTGGTAGATTTTTCTTAAATTATGAATGACATTCTTTAATTGCTGAAAATTATGAAAACATAGATCTTCATCAAATTTCGACAGAAGCAACTGGTCAAGAAGAAGACGAGACAGAGAATATCATAGAAGTTATGATAGACGTAGACAGAATTCTATGAGCAGTTATCATAGTTATAAGGATTGGAGGAGGTAAGAGCATATAAAAACTTACTGTCTCGGATTTTTTGTACATATTTTTTCTTGCACTTTTAGATCACCAAGTAATGCGTATCGACGATCTTATGAGAACTGGTATGATCGAGAAAAACAGAGACAAGTAGAAGAGCGGAGAGTGATCTACGTTGGTCGCTTGGCAGAAGGAATTACAAAAGCTGATTTACGCAGGAGATTCGAAGCCTTCGGACCAGTAGTAGATATTAGTATACATTTCCGCGAACATGGGTAATCTTTTAATTTCTTATAACTGTTTGCTGAATCTATTGCAATTCGAAATATTTACATTATCCTCTCTTCAATAGGGACAATTACGGTTTTGTAACTTTTGCTCATAAAAATGATGCTTATGAAGCAGTTGAACATGGCAACGATGATCCCAGTTTACCTAGATATGATTTATGCTTCGGCGGACGCCGTGCTTTTTGTAAAGTGAAATATGCCGATCTTGGTAAGTAAATCCGATAACAATGTTCACTTTATTATCTTTTCGTAAACTATTACATGTATAGCAATGTTGCTTTGGCAAGTCGAAGCTTTACAGTTATACAATTTCAATATACAAAGTTTATTTTTCATAGATGGTATGGCGAGCAATTCACTTTGTAATGGCGGCGGTGGCGGCGGTGGCAGCCGTGGCGTCCGTGGCATGTTACAAGATAACGAAGATAACACGTTCGACCTTCTGCTAAAAGAAGCGAAAGCAAAATTACGTAAAAGGAAGGTTTGACATACGTACTGTTTCTTAGTTGTAAATGTAATTAAAATGAAAAACAGTAGCACAGATGTCAACATCAATAAGAATTTGGAACAAAGATAAAATGGAGAGATCTATACTGGTATTTTCCAACAATAGAAATATAGTGAAAGTTACATAATTGTTAATAGATTATAAATACGTGTTGCGATACGGCATCTATAACGAAATTAACAGTTCATATTGAATTTCATTGGATAGTCACTTAATCCGTTTTGATATTTCCGTAATGAAAGTATTAAATTTTTCTGTATGAAAGTCTGTTTAGTTAAGTATACATATATATAAATAGATTTATTTTACTCATGGTTTTATAGCTAATTTATTACAGTTAATACAATATTAATTACTAGGTCTCAAATTTAGGAGAATCTAAGTTAAGCAAACATGTCTAAATTTAAATATCTTTTAACTTGAAAGATATGAATCATCATCAAACATAATACATACCTTTCATATAGAAAAGTAAATATATTTCTATTATATTGAAAACTATTATATATTAATAGAATATATCATGAACAAAATGTTTAGCTCATCCTTATTGCATGTATTAAAGTATCTATACGTTTTACATAGAAAAATGCAGTACAACAGGTAATCGAATCTGATAAAACATTTACACTGATTTGAATAGTTATAATTATTTAAGTTATATTTTACCATGATGTAACATAGATCGAATCTAGAATGTATAACGAGTGGACTAGTGTACATTCAGTTC